CTTAACCAATGGCGACGGTAGGGTTCATTGCGCTTTCTTGATGGGAAAGGCCCGAGTATCTCCGCTGAAACGCGTTACGTTACCAAGACTCAAATTGACGGCGGCTACTGTGTCCGCGAACATGGACGCCATGTTACAGAGAGAGCTCTGCGACGAGCTGGCATTGGGCAAGAGTGTGTTCTGGAGTGATAGTATGACGGTACTTAGGTATATCGCTAATGAAACCACAAAATTCCGAACGTTTGTCGCGAATCGCGTTGAAACCATTCATCAGCATTCTGATCTATCGCAGTGGAGATACGTATCGACCAATCAGAACCCGGCGGACGACTCTGTGGAGTGTACGCGATGGCTACAGGGCCCGGACTTCCTCTGGAGTTCTCACCAGGAGGATCAACGCGTAGACACCGAGCTCGTGGAGTCTGATCCTGAGTTGAAGGCAACTGTGGCGGCGGTTAAGATTGCGTCTGACATGTCCGAGGAGGCTCGCGACACAATGGATAAGCTGTTGCGTTACCATTCAACATGGTACAACCTGAAGCGCTCCACCGCTTGGTTGCTTCGCATTAAACGAATGTTGCTGCGCAAAGTTCGGAATAGGAGCAATAATGAGGTTAAGGTCGAACTTAGCGGAGAGCCGCTAACGGTGGACGAGATGAAGGGCGCCGAATGAGCTATTCTCCAATCTGCACAAAGGTTGGTGTACAGCGCTGAGATTGATACGCTTACGAATGGCGGTTTACAGGTGAAGCAAACAAGTTCCATCCATAGACTGGATCCAGTTCTCGGCGACAGCTTGCTTCGCGTAGGTGGACGGTTAGATAGGGCGAATTTGCCTCAGGATATGAAACACCCTATAATTGTGCCGAAGAGCACTCACGTCGCGAAGCTTATTATAAGGCAGACACATAGAGATGTTAGGCATTCGGGCAGGAATCACATGTTGTCGAAGTTGCGCGAGCGGTACTGGGTAATTCAGGCGCCATCTGCTATTAGAAGAATGATCTCAACATGCGTGGCGTGTAGGAAACAGAGGTCTCCCGTCGGGGGGCAGAAAATGAGCTATCTACCCGAGGACCGACTAGTACCTATCAACCACCATTCACGAATGTTGGAGTAGACTGCTTCGGTCCCTACGAAGTAAAACGTGGTCGTTCAGTCGTAAAGCGCTACGGCGTAGTGTTTACCTGTCTCGCGATACGCACGATCCATATTGAAGTTGTGGCTTCGATAGATACAGCCTCTTATATTAATGCTTTAAGGCAATTCGCGGCTTGTAGGGGTCAGGTGAAGCGGATGAGATCGGACAATGGGTCAAACTTTTGTGGCAGCGAGCGCAAACTGCAGGAGTCGATAAACGGTTAGAATCTGGTTCATATCCATGGCGCGATGCTTCAGAAGAACATTGATTGGGTTTTTAACCCGCCAGCAGGTTCTCACCATGGCGGGATCTGGGAGAGGCAGATTAGATCGATTCGGAAGATTATGAGCTGCTTGGTGCGCGAGCAAACGTTGGACGAGGAAGGTCTCCACGCGTTGTTGTGCGAAGTTGAGGCCACGATTAATGGTAGGCCCTTGACGATGAATTCGGATAATCCAGGTGACTTGGAGCCGCTGACCCCAAACCACTTGCTCCTGCTGAAGGGGAAGCCGAGCTTGCCTCCAGGATTGTTCTCCAAGGAAGATTCCTATAGTAGAAGGAGATGGAAGCAGGTCCAATATATGGCAGACATGTTTTGGAAGTGCTGGGTGCGCGAGTATTTGCCTTTGTTACAAGAGCGCCAAAAATGGTCGTCTCAGAGGAGAAACCTGAAGGTTGGAGATATTGTGTTAGTTGTAGACTCGCAAGTTGCGCGGAATTCATGGCCACTCGGAAGGGTGATCGAGACCATGCCAGACAGGAAAGGTTCGGTGCGTCAGGTTAGGGTCCAGACTCAGGCAAATATCCTAACTCGTCCTATTGATAAGTTGTGTACCATCCTAGAGATGGATTAGGCGTTAGAAATTTGAAGATTGGCCATAGTTGGTTTTGAATGCCAGGTATATTGGTTTTTGCAGTGTAGTCCGTTTTCGTGTAATTTTCGATGTCACGTATGTTACCTTTGCGTATTGTGTACAGTCATTAATTTGTGACTGTGAGTTTCGTGGTGTTTGGGTGTGTTCGTCCTGAGACGGCTCGGAGACGGACTTTATGGGATTGTTGTGCTTTGATATGTTTCACGACGATATTTGAAATTATTGTTGTATTCCTTTGAAATTAGTTGATTCAGGCTCCAAGAGGAGAGGTAGGTCAATTATAGGAATATAATTGAGGGGCCGGTATGTTGGAGCCGCAGAGCTTATGGCACTTTTCAGTATTAGTTTGTAATCCAGGTGGTAGCACCTCCTGGTTATTGTGGGATAGTGTTCTGGGCATATGGTTCTGGGCCTGCGCAGACGAGAGCCACGAGGAGCCTCTACTTGGTGAAGGCCATGATGGTGTTGTGTTGATATTTTGAAGACATAATTTCTAGAATTGCTAGGCTCCATGTTTTGTGAGTACAAGTTTTTGTCGTGTTTAGAGTTAACATGTTATAGGTTAAAGTAACCAAGAAGCAGCACACTCTAATTCATGTAATTTGTGTGAAAGTGGATTTAATTCCCAAATGGAATTTCACTGTTTAGGACCTGGCAGGTCGTTATAAGATTGTGTGGCGAGCCAGCCAGGTCCAGGGTAGGGTGCGTCGCGTGTCACTTCCATGTTTGTTAGCGACTCTGCCGTAAGCAGGGTATACTTCTCGGAAGCGGAAAGGAAAGCGCGCATGCTTCGGGGAAGAGAACTGTTTTGTGAGAGATGCGTGAAAGTGGGCAACTGGTGTGGTTGTCGAGCGAGAACTGATTAGTGAGAGAGAGACGCGTGAAAGTGGGCAACTGGTGTGGTTGTCGAGCGAGAACTGATTAGTGAGAGAGAGACGCGTGAAAGTGGGCAACTGGTGTGGTTGTCGAGCGAGGACTGATTTGTGAAAGGCGCGTCTTACTGTAAGTTGTCGTACTCGTTCTTGTCGTTTTGGCTATTTTAGTGTTTACCGGCCGCTGAATAAACGTGCCGGCTTTGTGGCCATGCGCTTTACGTAGCTGTTGTGTATCTTGCATCTTCTTGTGTGTATGTGCGCACACCACAAACCGCTGCGACAAAGCTAACCTCACAATCCTGTGATCGAGTTTGAAGCCCGGCTTGTAACTGCCGGGGGGTTAAAAACACAACGCAGGGTAGAAATCGGTACGCAAGGTCGATTAAGATTTAATCGGGATCACCACCAAAATGTAATCAATTGTAAATTACCCCATTTCTGACCTATCCTGAAAATAGTATGGCAATCCGTCCATAACCTTTTCAGTTAGGCTGTACATAAACCCACAAACCAACAAACACACGCCGAACAAACACACGCCGGTGAAAACATAACCTCCTGCCAACCCCTTGGCGGAGGTAATTAGATAAGATAACCAACAATACTCTGCAGAACCACGGAACCAGAACAAGGCAAGAGCGAGGCAATACCCGTCAACGTATTCTCGTCTAGCCCAACGACATCATGATGCTGCAGGCCAAAAAATGTAATTATATTTAAACTTGAATATTCATATTTCCAACATAAGTGTCTCTAGCTATGAACTTTATCTGCGACATATTTTGGGTATTTTTAATAAAACATACATATCCTTTATTTCTGCAGAAGTACAGAAGGACCGTCAACATCGTCATGTGGGAGTCAGGATGCTTCATCTGACCGCAATGCAGACGAAGCTGCGATCGCAAAAAGGTGTGCTTGTAAATATAAATGTATGACCAATGAAGATAATATAAGCTACAGTATTATAGGGCCCGCCCTTGCGAACACACATGCGAACACAGGCATAGGTCCATACACACGCACGCACGCTCTCACGCACACACTCACGATCACGCACACAAACAAATGCAAATGCACACCCACACACGCGCATTGAGAAACAGACACATGCCCATGCACACAAACCCACATGCACGCGCACACAAAAGCACATAAAACACAATATTTTAATGTTTCAGAACCACAGAGCAAGAAGGAACGGCACAATCGCCATCATCAGGAGAAGAAACGGATGAAGCTTCAGCGAGAAAAAGGTGATTATTAATGCAACTTAACAACACGATGTCATAATTAGTATGTTTCTTTTTTTCTTTTTTTTATGAGGATTTAATGGGGTTTCCGTGCTAGATATCAACTGCGCGCAACATTGTATGTATTATGCATCAATTATATAGGCTTCTTTCATTTTATGCTAATATCAATAACTCATAGGAAAGTGGCCTATGATGAGCTTCTAAGGATTGCACATCTAACGGTCGAGGCAGTGCCCCCCAAGAGAAAAACATGCAATCACATCTCTCCGGGCGAGGGAGACGCTCTATATAACCAATAGTTATATAAGCGATTGAAGCTACGACGCAATGAAGTGATAGGCACGTTTTGCTATTGATGCTGGTAGACACCACGTAACCATGTTTCACCTCCTCTAGCTATTTAATTGTCACATGTTGAAGAGGTAATTACCAGGCATTTTCATACACGTTTCAGGACACGTTTGAAATGTTTCTGTATGTACGTATACGACTATTTTTCACCGTGAAGTATTATATTATAATTATCACTTTATATTTCTTTGACATGTAGATACATGTTCTTCATGGATGAGACCAAATACAATACCAGAGCACTACAGAACATCGAGAGGACGAGGCTATTTTTCGATAGCTTGCAGAACTGCGGACTCGCGGAGCAGACAATACTAAATCAGAAAAACATACAGAAGTATCGATGCTACTTAACGGACCTCACTAACTTGTATAGCACGGACCGGTACGTGACACATCATAACCTGGTAACATGAAACGCGACTATGTAAAGTGATAATATGTCTCATATTAATACCATTCGATGCACCACACAGGTTGGAAAAACATATTTCATGTTTTTACTGACATACTTAAAGAAGTTCGGAGCTAATCAAAACATGCATGTTGTTCAGAACCTTCTATGAACACGTCATACACATGAAAGGCTGCCTGGCGACCATGAGAAAAGGTGCATCCCGAGGTGCCACTAAGGAATCCACAAAAAAACAAATACATCAGAGCCCACCAGCAACAGAAAACGCCCAACCAATGTATGAAGGTGTCGAGGGTCGCTAAGGAGGACTTTGTTAATGCACTAACGGATGCACAAGGAGGCGTGGTATCAGAGGGCCAACTACCGCTTATCACTAGCTACCTAGAGGCAGTGATTGCGCTAAGGCACTGCCAACGCCATGGTGTGTATTTCTGTTATCTGATATTAACTCAATAAATGAATAGAAACTAGATGGAATATGCGGTTATAATCGGTCTAGATGAACATGTACAGATGGCCACGTAACAGATAAACAATAATAGCCATTGGTACAAAATGTAAATACACGTGTACTACTGACGATATTGTGTTTGAGACGAACAATGTGAGAGTGGTTGTGTCCAGGCTGAGGATCCCACTTATTATTATGTTTCATTAGATGATACAAGATACATGGTTTGATAGATGATTTTTTTTCTTTAGGTGTGGTCATGAACATGATGATCGCGAATGGCTTGACAGAAGGAAAACCACAGTCAACGGTCGGGAATATTTCGTCATAAGCGTCAAAGAACGGAAGACGGATTTCACTCAACTGGCAATGTTTGCACTGGACAAGGAGGAGGAGTATGTACGTATTGATTGCGAGAATTTTAACATGTGCGGGTGAACAGCGTTGTTCTTCCATTTCCTCCTGTGATAGGAAGCATGATGTCCAAGGATTTGTGTTCTAATTTAAGTCTATGACTGATATTTCATTGCAAAATAATAATTATTGATTTCTTTTGTCGCATCAGTAGTTTCAAATATACTTTGAGAGCGTTCGTCCCATGCAGAGTGAGAGGACGGATGCCAGGAAGAATGAGTTCTTCTTCCTCTCTACAGCAGAAACAAAAGTATATAATGCCTCAAACGACATAGCCCGACAACACAAGCGATAAGTTATAAGCGTTTAGTAGCTATTATAGCAGGGCTGTAAATTTGATATCGGGCTAATTAGGTTTGACAGAATCCTTAAATATAATAAATTCTTGAATATAATACAATCTATACTATTATTAACATTTGAAGCGGAGGAAATGTTTTACATTAATTTATGTTTATTTGGAATAGATACTATTTATTTGGACAAACACGTGTTTTGATTACAGGCACGGCCTAGAGAAAGAAGCTGTATGTTCTTGTGCTGTTACAGGTTATTACCCTGTATGTTATTACCGTATGCCCTCTGACCTTAAACTACGTGAGGCTCTTGTGTTTGTGCTATTGGCCATTTTTGTTCGTGATTTAGCTTGGTCGGCTGATTCTCTAAGTAAAGCTTGGTTTACCACAATGTAAGTACGTCAGATAATTCAATTGTGGACTGAAGCTGTCTCATGAAGACACTGCTTATCTATGTAGCCAGTACACTACTGTTTTGTAATATTTCTTTACAGTACATATAGATGCAACTGAAGTTAGTTTTATGTGCAAGCATCTGAAGCATGTCCACCCCATCTGTGACAGTATTCTCTATTTTTATGTTGTAGTTTTTTCACCATTTGGTCAAGTGGTCACACATTAAAGACAGACGGTTTAACTGACTGCTATTTATGAATACTGGATGTTCCGTGTTTTTCTTGAAGAGGCAGTACAGTGAAAAATATTATATCAAGCCACAGCTAGTACACGGAGGTTGTGTGTGATACCACAGGCATAGAACAACGTCTCCCGTCACGTGATACTGACAACGGTCGCCGCCTATACGGCATAGGACAACGTCTACCGTCACGTGACACTGACAACGGTCGCCGCCTACACGGTATATGCAGACATGCACTCTTCAGAGAATCAGGACTCACAAGCACCCGAGTCAGAATCTAGAGTTCGCACACTCACGAATCACAGTAGCGATCGACGTAGTAGATCCAGTGGAGATACTACAGCCAGTAGAGTATCCAGTGTGGCTGGACACCGCGCAAAGGCTGATGCTGCTCGCGCGAAGGCGGACTATGCGCATAAAAAAGCAGAAATAAGGAGACGTCAACTCAAGATAAAAGAAGAAACATACCTGCTGCATGTCGATGTTGATGTGTTACGCAGTGAGAAGGAGGCAGCAATGGCGGAGGCCGAAGCTAAGGCACACGAGACATTTACTGGTAGTCAAGACAACCTCCCCGAAACTTCCAAACCCCGGATGGGCATCAATGTGGAGTTTCAGAGCAGTGCTGAGCGCACCAGGAGATATGCAGCAGAACACGATGCTTCTGCTATTCAGAAGGAGAGAGACACGCTGGACAAGATACCTATGTTGCAGGCACAGTCGAAGCCAGAGAACTACAACGTAGTGAGATCTGATATGTTTCGGCCGGAGAGACATCGTACCAGATTGAGCTACAGAGCGACTGAATTTCATCCGAGGGGTATCCAGCCTGACATCCCAGCAAATGTGACAGAGTCACCAAACGCTGTGCACACGGCTACAGACCTTACACGTCTTTTGTTAAAGAAGGAACTTTTAGGTTCACGTTAGATTAATTACAATGATCGTCCGGAGTCTTATGCCTCTTGGAAAATGACTTTTAGGAACGTCACACAATAGTTACAGGTAACTGCTATAGAAGAGCTCGACCTCCTTGTTAGGTGGCTTGGTCCTGAATCCTCGGGGCAGGCACAGAGTCTGAGAGCGGCAAGTCCCTTGAACCCCGGAAGAGGCCTTCAGCGTGTGTGGGAGAGACTGGATGATAGGTACGGTACTCCCGAGAAAGTGGAAGCGGCCCTAAAATGGCAACTTGACAGCTTTTCAAGGATTACAGGTAGGGTCAATAAAAAACTGTATGAACTCTCTGATATTCTGGCAGAGATCGAGGCAGTGAAAGAAGATCCTCAATATCAGGCAGTCATGGCACATTTTGACTCATCATCTGGGATCAATCCTATAGTAAATCGACTCCCATACGGGATGCAGGAGAAATGGACAACGTCGGCACAGAACTATAAAAGGAAATATGGAAAAGGAAGTTATATATAAAAGGAAGGTATCACCTTTCCACCATTTTATCATTTCAAGGAATTTATTCGAGAAATCGGACGTGTGAAGAACGATCCCAGTTTCCTGTTTGATAGTTCTTAACTTCTCCTTCTAACTTTTCTCTCTTCTAACTTTTTCCTTCTTGCCACAACAGGCAGAAAGGACAAGAACGCAATGAGGATCTTTCAGTCTGACATGAGACCCTTGACAACCAGGAAAGCGGAGATCGCTGATGACAAAGTCGAGGTTGACCCTGAAAGGTTTTGCCCCGTTCACAGGATGAGGCCTACCCTCAACCAGTGCAAGAGCTTTAAACGCAAGCCTATATATGAACGGAGGAAACTCTTGAGGGAGTTTGGCATCTGCTTCCAGTGCTGTGCTTACTCTAAACATGCCTTTCGCGATTGTAAGAAAGCTGTTGAATGTGAGGATTGCGGAAGCAGAGAGCATACGACGGCCCTACATGTCTGCTCAAATGATCTACATACATCAGAGTCGCATGAACATCAGCCAACTCATGGCGGGGAGTATGGCTGATTGATTAGATATTATTCATAGTCATAGTCATGATTAAGTCCATTGAAGCATTCTCTGTGTAAAGCTTCAATCCACAATTGACTTATCTGACGTACTTACATTGTGGTAAACCAAGCTTTACATAGAGAATCAGCCGACCAAGCTAAATCACGAACAAAAATGGCCAATAGCAAAAACACAAGAGCCTCACGTAGTTTAAGATCAGAGGGCATACGGTAATAACACACAGGGTAATACCCTGTAACAGCACAGTTCTAATGAGGCAAGGAAATCATTTGAGTCGGCGTCGCATGCATTGCTAGATGATGTCAACCGAAAACAGGTGGCTGATTATCTGGCGTACACAGTTGATGTGGCGAATCGACACTACGTGCACAAGGATGCGGGGCAGGTAGCCAAAGCTGCCTTTTTCCACAGTAGTATATTTCTATTACAGTAATAATCGTCACCTCGGTATTTAGATAAATGACTTGTAATATAGACAATTAGATAGTTTTGTGACTGCTGTCAAAACGTTTTTAGTTAAATCCTATGTATTTTATAGATTTGAATTTCGTGTGCTAGCCTCGCTTCGAAACTTGAAATTTCCGAGTTCGGTGGAAATTTCAGCGTTGTGTCGTAAGACACTAATTTGGAGAGAATATGTGTAGCCCTAGCCAGGAAAGAGGTAAATAACGAAGTTCATGATGTATAGACCGTTTTTACATTACTGTCATGCTATGATAGGGCCAAGTTTGGGCCTAATAAGAGCACAGGCATTCACGCAGTGTTTTCCCCAGTTTTGTCTATTTCTAAAGAAAACACTGTATCCCCCTCACCATCTGACACTTCATTCTGATCG